CTAACGATACTGCCTGTATTAATATGTTCGTGTCTAATTCGTATTGGTAGTGTCTAACGATACTGCCTGTATTAATATGTTCGTGTCTAATTCGTATTGGTAGTGTCTAACGATACTGCCTGTATTAATATGTTCTTGTCTAATTCGTATTAACTTCTTATTAAAGAAAGCCACCTCCATAAATCAGAATAAACATCTAGTAATTAATGTAGCTAATTCAGTGTAATGTTCTATCTAAATTACTTATAATTATCAATAACAAACACAGAAGTACACTTGGTATGTTAAAAACATAGTGATGTGACTTATAAATTACCAACTTTAAGATCATGAGAATCCAGAGAGTTTTAAATATTTAAAATGAAAGTGAAGTCCGATATTCCAGTGTTCATTGTTTAAATATAGAGATAAGAAACATCAATTTGTAATTGAAACCTATACATCCAGTTAAATGTGATCCAACTTTTTATGAGTAATGTTAGGGTTAATATTTTTTACACCTTAAATATTGGGCTAGCACTTAAATGTTTTTACTAATACATTGTGTTTTAATTGACAGAACATCTAAAAAAAAAAAAGTTTTGTTACACACGACTTTATTATGTGATATTTAAACTAAATATTAAATCATAATTAACAAAATAGGTCCTTAACCTTACTTTACAGAACAAGTTTAATTATTTTTTCACAAAATGCAGCATATACTGAAGGAAATTTCTTTGTAAATAATAAATCCAGGTGATATATTTACTGTGTATGTTTTCTGGGTTTTTCTCAGTTAAAAGTTAACAAATCTGGAAAATGTTTTTGTTTCCTTCTTGAACACTTTCTAAACTTTACTAATAATCAAATAAAACTACAAATAATTATTTAACTAAACATATTTACATAATTACTTTTGAAAAAACCATGATGAGATAAAGTTGTAGAAATATCAGAATTAATTTCTTGGTGTATGCACTTGAACCAGTCACCTACATTTTTAGAAGTATGTCGAAAATGTCACTAAAACTTGGTACAGTGGTGTGTTCACATATTAACCATGACTGTTGTGAAGATAAATCTTGGTACGATGGTGTGTTCACATATTAACCATGACTGTTGTAAAGATAAATCTTGGTACGATGGTGTGTTCACATATCAACCATGACTGTTGTAAAGATAATTCTTGGTACGGTGGTGTGTTCACATATTAACCATGACTGTTGTAAAGATAAATCTTGGTACGGTGGTGTGTTCACATATTAACCATGACTGTTGTAAAGATAAATCTTGGTACGGTGGTGTGTTCACATATTAACCACGACTATTGTAAATATAAATCTTGGTACGATGGTGTGTTCACATATTAACCATGACTGTTGTAAAGATAAATCTTGGTACGATGGTGTGTTCACATATTAACCATGACTATTGTAAAGATAAATCTTGGTACGATGGTGTGTTCACATATTAACCATGACTGT